ATGGCGGTGTGTGCATGTGGTTGAATACTATTCTGTGTCTGGATGTAATTCATCTATAGTATATATGTATTTAATTTAGTAATTAACGAGTATATAAATCTGTTGTGGCCAGTTGACGGCGATAGGCTTGTCATTACATTAGTAGGAGTGATATTACAGTCGAGAAAATGTTTGCGTTTAACACACTTGAGCCTAAAGATATAATTAATTTATAATACCTACATATTATCATTATCATAGCCTTATAAGTCCACTGCTGGACATACTCCTCTTCTTAGAAAGGAGGTTTTAGCCTATACAACGCCAGACGAGTTGGTATAGTATTTGTGTCAAGTTTTCCTTCTCTCTGCAGTGATGTTGTCCTGAGTAGTTTGCTCTCTAAGTCGGCTTTTATGATACCCACGGGATGAATAGGGGTGGTGACTCTCCGTATTCTTAATCAGTCACCACACGGATGCATACACATTATACTTGTAGTTTAATTTCATCAAGATACGAAACAAACCATCACGCTCATTGCACACATATATATTCTTGGTTGGAATCGAACCCATGACCTCTAGCTAATCAGCGAGCATCACAAACCACTTTACTACCAGTCCGGTCTAATTTCAGATGTCGATCCGTCATATCCTTTAAGCAAGTCTTTATTTGAGATACAAAACCATATCTGTCTGGTCATTGGTCTGACCATAAGAGGAACAATGGTCGTCCTTCTGGCCGCTGGACACAAGGTCGGCCATATAACTAATATGTGATAACTAGAATATATTAACGGAAATCATTTCTAATATTCGCGTATTAGTATGCAGAGGCAATAGGTAGGCTCGGCGAAACAGTTGGGTTTCGTCATAGTCTTTGTCGTTTATTCATCAATAACTTACATTGTATTTGAAATATAATACTTAACAAAATACCTACTACGCCGAGTGTTGTGGGTTCAAACCCCACATGGGACGACACTTTGTGTGATCCACAAATTGTTGTTCTGAGTTTCATGTATGTTTGTAAAGTCCCCCGTGACACAGGATATATTCCTAATGCATCATCATCATCATCAACAGCCTTTAATAGTCTACTGCTGGACATAAGCCTCTCCTTAGAAAGGATGTTTTGGCCTACTATACCACGCTGGCCAGACGGGTTGGGAAAGGGTTTGTGTCAAGTTTTCCTTCTCTCAGTAGTGCTGGTGTTCTGCGTAGTTTTTTCCCTTAGTCGGCTCTTACGACACCCACGGGATGAATAGGGGTGGTGACATTATAACATTATAACATAGTCTTAATCCATCACCACACGCCGATTAGTAATATATAAAAGTTCCCAATATCGGCCGTTAGGTTGTGATCTGCCAGGCATTATGACACTCTGTATTCTTAATCCGTCACCACACGAACCCTAATGCGGGAGTGGTCTTTTTAAAAAAACAAAAATCAAATCAAATAATTATAAAACCATAATTGTGGCGTCATTAGTTATCATTCATGGAATATCATTATCATTTTGAATCAGTTATCAATAGGGTAAAGTCTTCTGTCCAAAAGGAAAGTATTTCCTTTTAAAGGAACCTTTATATAACGCACTCTTTATATCTTCAGGCAACCTTTTATACAGCGTTGTGTTTTACTACATTTAATTGGGGAATAATATTCGTTTAAATATATCCGTGTGGTGACGGATTAAGAATACGGAGTGTCATCACCCCTGCTCATCCCGTTAGTGTCATAAGAGCCGACGAAGGGAGCACCTACGCAGGACAACAGCACTGCAAAGAGAAGGAAAACTTGAAACAAATCCTATACCAACCCGTGCCAGCGTGGTATAGTAGGCCAAAACCTCCTTTCTAAGGAGAGGCCTATGTCCAGCAGTGGACTACTAAAGGCTGTTGATGATGATGAATATTTGTTTTAAAATCTTTTCTACGTGTCTCTTCCCTAGCTTTTCTTGTGCTTTTTAAAAACTACCTACGTTTTGCAACATAACTTAATACGAACAATCTTAATTGCGAACTGTAGGAAGTATACCAAAAGGTTAGAATATAGTTGTCGTCAATTAATTATATTGTAGTTTTTCTTCTACTTTAACTACTACAATGTACTTTATGAACTTAACTGACATCTTACAATAAAAATAATATACCTCACACATCTAACACACGGCCGTCTGATCCCTAACTAGGCAGAGCCTGTACATTCTGTACAATGGTAACCAGACTGCTGATAAACATACTTATATATTTCTAACTACATACATATAATAGATGAATTATACCTAGACACTGAACAAATGACCGTGCTCTTCACACAATTATTTGTCCTGGGTGGGAATCGAACCCACGACCTTCGGTTTAGCAGTCAGGGTCACTAACCACTAACCAACAGGCCAGTCAAATAAATTCAGAGAGGGTAACAACAAACAAATCTAGGGAGGGTAACCCTTACCACCTAGGGGTATAAAAAATAGCTTACGACCTATTCTGTGATCTACCAAATATGCTCAAAAAAATTCATTAAAATAGGTAAAGTCGTTTTGAAGGAGTTCGATATCAAACAGACATTGTGACGGGAGACATGAGATTTTTATATATTAGATAGTTACCAGTTTACTTCCAGACATCTATACATATAAAATCATTACTGGTTCAATCATGATTTATCAACGCAGAGTCTAATCCACTGGGGCTTCAAGCACCATTGTAAGCACCCAATTAAAAAGGATTTTTGGAAATCTAACAGGATGAAAACAGGCGTGAGGGGTCTATGGACCCCCGGTCGTAACGAAGTTCCTTTCGCTTTTTGGTACTCGTGCGCAAGAAGTGTCAGAAATAAGTCTTGTTACACTTTTTTGGTCACGCTCCCAGCATTCGCTCAGAGCATTTAACGCGCGAAAAGGAACTTTATTCCAATAAGGGATGAACGATAAAGTGTGTCATTGTCAAAGCTAGAAACAAGAAATAATCAAGCGAGTGAAGACCCGGTATAAAACTAGTTACGTTATAAATGGGTTAAGTTTGTCCATGAGTCACCGTCCCAGGAATAGACAGGACTTCCTAAATATGGCTAGACTACTTGAACATTCATTGCGTACGAATTTCCAACAGCAATCACTTCGATTTCTTTTCACACAATATAGGATCAAGCGTCATGTTTTTTGTCACGTGAATAAAAACTACTGATTAAAAATACGTCACATCATCATCACATCAACAGCCTTTAAGAGTCCACTGCTGGACATAGGCCTCTCCTTAGAAAGGAGGTTTTGGCCTACTATATATACTACTATATATCTATACTAATATTATAAAGCTGAAGAGTTTGTTTGTTTGTTTGTTTGAACGCGCTAATCTCAGGAACTACTGGTCCGATTTGAAAAATTCTTTCAGTGTTAGATAGCCCATTTATCGAGGAAGGCTATAGGCTATATATCATCACGCTAAGACCAATAGGAGCGGAGCACCAATGAAGAATGTTTCAAAAACGGAGAAAATTTATTAGTATTGAGAGCCGCAGACGAAGTTGCGCGGGTCAGCTAGTACTATATATATATTAAAAATACGTATTAATCTTTAACTATCAAGGCATCTACTGTGGTGCAGTGGTAGCGTATGCGATTGCTGTACCGTGTGATCTGCAAATATTTGTTTCGGAGTTTGGGTGTTTTCTATGCATGATATGTATTTACAAAAAAAAGTACATAAGTATTTTATCAGTCAATCTAGCTTTCATAGTACAAGCTCTGCTTAGTTTGAAACTAGATGGCGTTGTGTGTCAGATGTCCGAAAATATTATTAATTGTTATTAATATTTGAACATATTATAGTCTCCTTTAAACATCAACAGCCTTTATTAGTCCACTGCTGGACATATGCTTCTCCTTAAAAAGGAGGTTCAGGTGCTTTTTTAAACAGATTGCTTTAAATAATAATAAGACATAACTTTCTCTACAAAATAGAAAATGCTTTTTAAACCTTCAAGAAAACCTAAAGGGGGTGGACAGAAGCATTTTAAAAGGCCATATTTTACGGACAATAATTTTAGTTCCACTCACGTAATTAGGCCAACCTATTGGCGCCCACCAGGCATATCTATATCTTTGTATACATAATTATTCTGTGCGTGTGTATGTGACTAAACTCCTCCTAAAAGGCTGGACCGATTTTGATGGTTTTTTTTTGTACGTCCACTATAAAATTTATTTTAAGTCTACGGCCTGTACATAAAACCAGTAAACGAATGAAAATTGTTGCAAAAAGTGCAAAATTTTATTATTTTTGAGTTACGCAGACAAAGTTGCTAGCTTTTGCCCGCAGCTTATATAATATCGATTATTCGGTTAAAAATAGCCAATGTCTTTCCTCAAGAATCAAAGTATTTTCATACCAAATTTCATTTAAATCGATTTAGCGGTTTAAGCGTAAACAGGTAACAGACAGACAGACACACTTTCGCATTTATAATATCAGTATGGAGTATGGATGTATAATATGTTTAGTTGGTTTGAGTACGCTTCAAAAACTTAAAAAGTTCTGCTTCTATTGCACTCAAATTTTGACACGATATACAACCCTCTTCCAAGATTGTTTTAAACTATTTTTTACGTCAGTTTTATTCCTCACTTCTCATCAATGCAACCGCATTGAACCACAGCGAGGCTAGGCAGATTACAGTTGGTATGCTATATTTCTAAATATACATACTTCCATATTTATAAATACACACGGCCGTCTGATCCCAAACTAGGCAAATCCTATGCTGTGGTAACCAAACTGCTGATAAACATACTTATATATATCTAAATACACACACATTATAGATAAAGTAAACCCAGACACAGTACAAATGATCGTGCTCATCGCACAATATTTGTTCTAGTTGAGAATCGAACCCACGACCTCTAACTGCTAAGCCAATAGACCAACAGGCCTGTCCAGTTATTTAAGCATCTTAAGTTAGGTAGATTCCCTTCTTTGGACTTTTGACATCCTGAACAGCTACTTAGCCTTCATGTACTTATCATTATCTTTTCTTTCACAGTGCGAAGAGTCTATGTCAGCAGGAGACATGTGTGTCTCAGCAGCTCGCGCGGGGCCCTCAGCCCGCTGGCATCCAGCCTGCTTCGTGTGCTCCTCCTGTCAGGAGCTGCTTGTAGACCTGGTCTACTTCTGGAAGGACGACCGGCTGTATTGCGGGAGACACCACGCTGAAAATTTGAAGCCCAGGTGTTCGGCGTGTGATGAGGTGAGCTTTTTAAATAATACTGACTAAGTTTTGTAAATTAGAATGTCAGTAAACGCATTTGTACATACCCCTGATGATTCTATACACATACATAATTATTTTTCAAGACCAGAATCAATTAGATTAAATAACTTTAAGTTGTTTTATTTTATTTACATATTTAATTAATTGAATTACAACAATAAATTGAGCTACAAACTAAATTAAGAATAGGATGATTTATATAATTTTTTATATTATAAGCGAAATGACACGTCACTGACCTAATGAAGGTGCGTTCTGAACATTTACGCATTAGCTTCTAACAAAAGTAACATTTATTTTAAAAACTGAATTACTTTTTTTTTCTAAAAGCGTAAAAATTGCGTTTTTTTTAAATAAAGATGACATATGTGGCCATCCTCAGCTATGATTGGGCCGATATTCTTTGTTACACTTTCACGATTCCACTACTGCTTGCCAGATCATCATAAAATATTTTTTTCACGTAGTCAGTATACACGAAAGTACGAAAAGTACCTTTCAACTAGAAGATAGTATTGTTCCCAAGGATTTGGAGAAATCATTGACTTGATTAACAAAATCTACTTTAAGCCTATTGAAACCACAGACAAAAGCTGGAATAAAGTAACTAATGAGCTACCCTCCCCATGGACACCTACAACTCAAAAGTTATAAGTTCTCAACCTAAATTAGAGAAGATTAGGGTGGAGGGTGCACTGACAAGTTACTCAACAGCAGTTTTCTGTGAGGCTGTAGAATCACCTCCGGTCGATGGTGGGATATGCCTTCTGTATGGACGGGCCGACTCACAACTATGGTCCTTTCTTCAAAAGGCCAACCCAGACCCTATACTGAACTCACATAGTTCTCTTTAACATTGTACACGGACTTAATAAAAAAACACCTCTGTGGTTTGTTTCGGCGTTTCTTCCCAGAGTGAGTTTTAGGAAATGCCGGCGCCTTCTGGCTGCAAATATAATAGCTACAATTAATATAATTTCATTTCAGCGCTTTACCTTAAGACGGCTTCTGTGTTTTAATTTGCTACCATAATAGTATATAAAAACTTCAACAAACCGAAAAGAATGATAAAGATAAATATCCACCCAAAAATAAATCAAAGTAAAATTAATATCCTTTACAAAAACACCATCTTATCACTGACTACAAAACGTTAAATCACCGACGCACCGCCTTTATCGTCACAATCGCCAGTCTGCGCACGCGCCGGTGCAATTGTGCGTGCAGTTGGCAATATCCTGTGTTTCCGCAACAAACCGGAAGTGAGATAACATCGGAGGGTGGGTACATCCCCTGTATAATTTCACTGTGAGTTTCACGGTGGACGGCCGCTTGCTAAATTTATGTTTAGCCAACATATGGGAACAATCGGATAAATTTGCATAAATGTTTTTGTTACTGAATATAATTGTAGTGTAATGTACAGGGTCGATTTGAATTCGTGTACCTAGTTCTTTTAGATTTACGTACTTAACAGCTAATATTTAAAAGCTCTGGCTGATTTTCGATGCGATTTGTTATTTTTTAGAGAGGTTATGATTCGGACTATGTATGTGGAGAAAACTCGGCCGCAATACAATAAATTTTGTATTACCTTCTATAGAAAAAACTGCATCAATTTGTTTTTACGTCTTAATCCCCGATGCGGGTAACACAAACAACAACAATATTTTTATTGAACGCACTATATCTAGTTAATAACTACTAAACAAGAAAATTTGTAAAATCTTTTAAAAAATAGGAAAGAATAAAGTTGGTATGCCCATTTCAGTAGAAAATCAGTTCACATTTCTTTTTATGGGGCAAGCGAGAAGACAGGTCAAGAGACCTACAGTCACAAGTGTGTTGTCGCCGTTTGAATCGTTCCTCTCTGGAATTAGGGGAACGGGGATTTATCTCCTGTAATCATAGAGTGCTCCAATGAATTGCTTATATTCTTTTTATAATAATATAAATTACTCACAAAATATAGTCCACTTGCTATCCCACAATGGGCATCGGTTTAGTATTTATTGTGCGTGCTTTATATTAAATGTTGCCCCTTGAACGCTGAGGGCGCGGGGTGCAACGACCCCTTATATTAAAACGATACATTAAATAACCTGCACTTAGGGTTACCAACATAATAATAATTATATTTTTGTTGTATTTGATACTGATGACTGGCACAGCAGTCGCATACGATTCCACTGGACCATGATGTCTCGGGTTTGATGCTCGGATCGGACCAAATGCTTGTATGAGTTGCAAATATTTGTTTCGGTGTTTTCTATGTATAATATGTTTATATTTACAAAGTAAAAGTATGTAAGTATTATATCAGTCAATCTATTTTTCATAGGTTTGAAACTAGATGGCGTTGTGTGTCAGATATCCGAAATATTTATTTATTATTTATATATACTCGGGAATACCCGCTTTTATTTAACACCACAATTTATAGATGAACCCTGCCGCACTTCGCTGTGACGCATTTTGGTTGCATTTATGAGACATAACGAACAAATTTAATAAAAAAAATAAAAATTAAATAAAATTACATGTATATAGTAATACTTTTTATTTTTTATATATAAAAATGTTAAGTTGGTTTGTGTATGCTTCAAAAACTCAGAAACTTCTGCACCGATTGAGCACAAATTTCAACACGATATACAACCCGCTTCAAGCATTGTTTTTTTTTCTATTTTTCGCGTCAGTTTAGTTCCTCATGTCTCATTAATGCAACCAAAATGTACCACAACGAATCGTGGCAGGGTACAGCTACTTTTTTAATAAAAATAAACTGTAAACATTTGTAGACAGCCCTACCTTTTTAAAGGGGCTGGTTAAAGGCCGTCTGCGGCGGAAACGTCTACCAGACGAATGGCCGCGATAACCGCATCCAGGTCGAGAGGAAACACTCTAAAATGACCAAATAACCACCTCCACCCCTAATTTGCGCGATTAACATCATTTAGGTCAAGTGGGTATTTGTGTGTTTTGTTTAATAAACACGAAAAAGGTAGAGCACAGATTTTTACTTTACTAAGAAACTACTAGCTGTACGACAGCTTAAAATAGTAGTAGTAGTAGTAGAATCCCCATAAGATCATGGGGAATGGCCAACATGGATTATATTACCAGTATAATATTGGTGTGGTGAATTTATATTTATTAATAAACGAAGGAATGGGAGAAATCGGCATGTGTGTAAACTGTATGTTATCGTGGCTGTAGTTTTTAATATTGGTGTAAATAAAAAAGAGTTAACAATAATAACTTGACACATATCACACACGGCTATCTGATCCCAAACTGGGCAGAGCCTGTACTATAGTAACCAGACTTCTGATAAACATACTTATATATTTCTAAATACATTCACATTATACATAACTTTATACAATATATATGTTATTTGTCCTGTTTGAGAATGAAATCCCTGACCTCGGACTGAGTAGTCATTATCACTAGCTGTCAGAACTACATATTATAATAATAACCTCACACATCTCACAGACGCCTGTCTGATCCCAAACTAGGCAGAGCCTGTGCTATGGTAACCAGACTGCTGATAAACATACTTATATATTTCTAAATACATACATATTATAGATAAATTACACCCAGACACAGAACAAACGATCGTGCTCATCACACAAATATATGTCCTGGATGGGAATCGAACCAACGACCTCCGGTTTAGCAATCAGGGTCACTAACCACTAGACCAACATGTCCGTCATACTGTTGAGGATCTTAAGGTTTCGAATTATATGAAATTTAGCAATCACGTTATTAAAGATACTGCAATTTATGTAGGATACGGATATTTATGATTGTTTTACGCGAGTTTAGTCAATTATGCCACTGCATATTTTATTTATTTAAAGACAACTCCCGCACTAGGAATATATCCTGTGTCGCGGAGGACTTCACAAACATACTTACATGAACCGGACACAAAGAACACCCAACAGGACATGTAGGGATTGAACCTATAACACTCAGCGCAGTAGGAAGCGGTGAGGTGACCGCTTAAACCACTACGCAATCCGTACAGTCCATCCGTCATCCGTCCTCTTTGAACTACTGCAGTGTCAGCCATGTTTTTCATTCGAGATTCGAGTAAGAAAAATGATAGAGGCGCGACTTGCTTCCGCTTTACTCATTTTTCTTACCATCAACTTTAACTTAAATTTTATAATTTTTTGTCCCTTCCAACAACAATCAGATTGCAAAGGAGTGGTACTCAGAAAAGATTGTTTAAAATTCGATTTTACTATAAAAACATTGTAGAAACAAAGAGAAAAGTAAATTTATTTGACCTAAACCAACTATAAAGATCTGTTGCTTTTAAGTAGAAGCGATACAGACAACGAGAGAGAGGGATGCCCGATATTTCCCTCTGTCTCTGTTTATCTGTCTGTTTAGCTAAGCTGCGATTGGCTACTTATTAACCCCTCATATTCCCCAACCAACCTCAGAGCTCGATTAGAAAGAGATAGAGGGGATTATCTATTATCCATCTCTTTCGTTGCCTATATTGCAAGATTGGGGCTCTTGTTCTCTCTAGGTTATATCTATAAGATAAAGTAGAGTTTGACACTTCAAGTTTACGATTTTGATGTTTGATTAAAAGAGGGATAAGACTTAGTGTTCAACTATCTTTTATATCTGCATTACTGAATTTAAATTCCACCATTTAGATAACGATAAAAAGTTTGAATTTAGTAAGTAGCTTTATAAGTATTTACGATTACAAGAAAAACAACCGCCAACAATGCAACTTCAAGTATCAAATTTCTTTGATTGTAACCTCTGTTGAAGCAAATTGCAATATATCATTACGAAATAACCACCGGCTTGAATCTCCGATAATAACACCTCGAAGGCTATGGGAGTTGGCGCGATGTCTTCATTACCTTTCATTCACTCACCCGTCCAATGGAGATAATAATTAAAACAGATTATAAACGGTGAAACAGTATTTA